GACGATAGGTGTGGTGCAGACAAGAGAGGGGTACCCTATAAAGTAATTTTAGGTCACAGTGAGTGTATCAATTGTTGAAGACTGATGTCTGTCATCAACTGATTGCGAGATCTTTTAAGAGGTTATTTAGGGCAGGTTAAATACGTTGTTCTAAGGTGTTCTTTTAGGTTAATTAAAGAAATAAAAATTCAGTTCCCCTTTTGATCACTGTCGGACACGTGCCTTACGAGGCGTCTTTGATTGATAGGAGCTAGCAATACCTGTGAAGGTAGCTGCTCCTGAGCACTCTGTGCTGTGATTCTTTTGAATCGTTTGGTCCCTTAGGAACGGGGACCGTAAGCTCTCTGAGCTTGTTGACTCTCTGAGTCGGGTTCGTAGAACCAAAGTTGCTCGTAAGAGCGATAAGTCTTCCTCTGACTTTAGGAGCTGTGTAGCTCCGCAACAGGTGGCGCGAAGAAACAGTTCTCGATCAAGTCAGCAATGTCATAACCGCAATTTTGACCAGCAATGCGCAAACATTGAGGTTCCTAGCTATTTAGCGCCCGTCATTTCGTGATTGCTTCAGTTTACCGTGTAGTCTACCAATCTACTTTAGCTGCTGAGGTAGAATCGATGCTTTTGCGCATCTTCGTATACGTGTCTGCATCGACTTGCATATTTCGTGGCTAAAAATCTTATTGTGCCAATTTTTTTTGTCCGATAACGTACGACTTGCCTATTTTTCGACTGCTTTTCACAGCATTCTGCGGACCGTGTTAGAGGTAGTCTTTTCATCGTACACATTCGACTGTATGATACAAAGCTCAACTTTGTCGAGCGCAAAAATAAAGTAGCTGTGGTAACGTCGACTCGCAGGGCTTCCACACATTTTACTATCCGTATAACACCAGGCATCTCGCGCAATTAAGTTGTTACGACACGCGCTAATATCTCAACACAGCAACTTCAAACTGCTGAGTAATGCCGTGAATTGCAAGTCGCGCCATAAACGTTTTCTGTCTGCGTCCTACATCCAGACATGAACGTTTCCAGTCTGCGTCCTACATCCAAATATCGGACTCTCCTATCCTGCGATCGCTTTCAGCCGATGGAAAATTGATCGATTTTCAAGCATCAGGCTAATATACCAAACACTTCCTCAGCTTTCACGGTGACTCAGTAATAATAGCGCTTCCATTCAGACTGAATATGATTGATGCATGTTGCCTGCACATTGCCACACGTAGTAGTGCATGCCGTTGAACATACCAATAAAAATGGCATTGTGTGAACTGCCACGACCCATCCGGTTTCGTTAGTTCGGATAGCCAGGGTCCCATGCCTCTGATACAGTAGAAACCCTCTTCGCTAATTCCCTCTTCGCTAATAACCCCTTGTAGTTATCAAAGCTTCCGGCCAGGCGTTGGCCAAGAGAGGTCGACCACGTGATTACACAATCCCTCCTACCTAATATCTTCATTGCTTCGTTTAATTCCATCCGCCCAATCGTACTAGCTAAGAGGGGTCCTACTGCATTCAGTTCGCACCCATGTCAATGCTCTGGCTCGAAGTAGCCTCTTTGACGTACCGGGCCAAACTTGACAAGCCGTCTTGGCCGGGCACGTTGGCTGTTTATGGCGCGCACATATACACTAGTAGATTCGTTTTATCTGATGATAACTTTGACTATGTGTCGGTTAGTACGATGCCGATGCATTCATCAAGGTAGGGTTTAATGACACCATGTGGCTTAAGATCGGTAATGCGACACGGCGTTGGTCTCTTGTAGCACAAAACGTCTACAGCTAGTGCACATACAGGTTGTCTATCCGCATCATCTGCTAGAAGATAGGTGAGACGCGAGTTGTAAACCAATAGTTCGATTTTGTTTATTACTAAGTTTAGCGTCTGATCTTGATACCGTTTCAGTTTTTTCCTTGTAATCCTGCAGTCGTGCTATAACAGTGCTTATTTTACTTAATAACCACACATGGCTGATCCATCTACTGGACAACGTCATTTGACATGTTCATCTATCTCCAATCCCACGAAAAGAAGCAGTTCGAATGTTGTCGTTTAACACAAGCTAGTGACGTGCTATTGCTTGACATGCGCGCACGAATATCATTCGTACCCGTACGAATCGAATTGTACATACTGGTATCCCGCAATAGGTTCACATGTCAGACGTACTGAATGTCATCCGATGACGCAGGCACCCCACACAATGTAACAGGACACCTCGCGCTACTACTGATGACAGCATAAACCCCTATGGTGGTGAAAGCGGAAATTGGGTGCTCCGAAACGTCACGTTTGTAGTGAGGTGCAAAGGAAGTGCAGTCAACTAGACTGGACAAGCTCAGATGGACAGGGAAAAAGGCATCGCTGATCATGTAATTTTGTCTTCTTACGCACCACCCATGGCTCGCGTCCAGCATTGATTGGTGGTAACATTGGCGGAAATCTTAGTCGTAATGAGCCAATGAGCAGTTCGTTGTCAACTGTTGTCGAAGGTTACCTTCATAGGCAAGTTTCCGCAATATCACCCACTGAGGCAATATTGTCGTGACAACTCATTGCATTTAGCCGCAGTTTTACACTATCATCTACCAAGATAGTGTTCGTAATTGACACCGTGCTTGGATGTCAACGTCCTGTAACAGCTCACCCTCTTACGGTTGGCGATGCTACAGGGGTGCACGTCTCTCAATGGGTCACATTCGCTTCTATATTGTGCTCCATCGGTCAATGACGGTACGGATGCAGAGAAACCGAGTCGTTCATACGGAAATGAGGTAATATTCGAAGGATGTGTTGACCAGTAAGCTGTGTGGACTGCGTCAAGTACGAGCTTCGTCGCCAATAGATTGCAGAGCGATACATGCGTCAGTGCAAAGTGTACGTCTCACGCAATGCATTGGGTCGTTTGACATTCACCTTCAAGTTTGTTACATCATGCGGTAAGTCCACTTCAACGAACAGGTCCTTCGACACTGGCGTTATCTACGTGATTCAGGACATCCCAAACGTCGCCCTCTTTGGTAACGCCGTACGCCTGCTGCTATGTCTGCGACAACTAGTAGGCAACCAAGAGAGCCGTCGCCTATGGCGCCCAGCCCCGTACAACCAGCAGATTCGAACGGGGTACCGGCGTTGCAAAGCACGCCTAACCCACATCTGATATCCTGCAACCAGTAAACGGTCAAAAAGACACGTCTACTTTTCTCTCTCTCGACTTCCGTGACGCCCTATCGACCACCCATTCCTCTCTCGCTGGGCAGTTTCAGCGCAAATCGTCGCAGTCTGACGCCGCAGTAGATTCCTGGACGGCAACGACTCGAGGAATTGCTGAACCTCGTTTTGTCGAGTCCCACAAAAACATGCAGCGTGTGTGGCACCACCTGCCGTACACGACTTTGTGCCAGTGACGGCTGGTCGGTTGTAGCTGTGTCATCGTATGCATCGATCCGTGTGTGGCATTGCAGAGACCAGATATCGTGGGCTACAGTACACTTGAGAGAGCTACATTCAGGGCGGCAATGTTGACTTGGCCTTCGGAAGGAATGATGAGCTGGCTACTTGCACAAGAGCACGGTTGCTCGAAATCTTTGTACAGCGTTCTCGTCCGAGCGAAGGATGCACATCGCTGCACAGAAGCAGCCTTCGGACAGGAGTTTCCCGCTGGCTTTCTGCGCTCACACGTGTGTCCACTCACATTGGCGGAAAATGAAGGAACGACCCATTGAATGAGTGACAACGCGTCTGGTCTAAACATCGCCAGGACAATTCATGTCACTGAGCGACCTGTTCCGCGACACAGACCGTCTCGTCTGGACTCTCGTTGGTGTCAGATGGCAAGGAGCAGGCTGTCCTGCGACAGCAGCATCGAAGCATTTCGTCTGGGTCGCTGCCACGCCGAATGAGTCATTATTCATTTTGCGCGCCACAAGCTCCTGACCCACGTCGGCCATCCCTTCCTAGCTCGACCATGCGAATCGTCTGCCTCCGCGCACTCTGCGTCAGTGCTGCGTTGCTCATCAGTGCCGAATGCGCTGTAGGCCTGCCCGAGACGAAGGTCTCGTCACGTGACGCTGCTGATCCCGAAAAAGGCCCATCTCAACGACTGCGGGTGGCCGAAGCTGCGGACGAAAACAACGGTGACGAGCGCATGTTTAATTTATCACCAACCGCGGAGGAGACCGTGGTAAATTTGGCGAGAGGGGTCGGGGGTATCGGACAGTCGAAACACTCGCTATTGCCACCATCTCAAACTCACGACGTCTTCCTGTCTCAACCGTCTACAACGTTTGAGTCAGATTTCGCGCGCTTGTCGCTCGAGAAAAACATTCCGCCTCGAAAGGAAGGTGCATTGCCACCTACAACGCTTACTGTTGAAGAGATAGCCCCACTTCTGCATCCGGCTGAGGCACGGAAGGCTTGGGCAGGGTTTATGGCGTCCCTACATAGGAAAATAGGAGTGACGCCTATGAAAAAAGCAGGCGCCCGAAAAAAGTTGCCATCAAAAAAGTAGCGAAGATGGTCGACGAGAAGCTGTTCGGCATTTCTTCGAGGACACTACAACTGCTGACGACCTGTGCATGTTTTGGTCGGGCCCGGAACTCTTACGATTTTTTCTCACCGAAGACCATCCCAAGACGCCATTCTAGCCGACTACAGCGAGTACTTTGACAAGCCAAAAGGAGTTCCTGAGAAGAACCAGTAGGCCATCGTGCTAGCGACCACAAGACGGGAGTGACATTCGCTTTTCTTGTTGTATTGGTTCATACGATAGAGTACGTTGTCTTCGCACGTTGTCTTCTGCGGCACTTTTATCGATTCTGCTTGTAACTGATGCCCGTACATTGCAGGTCTTCTGAAGTGTATCGCAGGTTCGACCTCCACAGGCACTTATCTGCCTTCAAAATGCACACTCGATGGATGGAAGAGGCATCCGCATCGCTGACGCGGAGATTCGGTCGTGCAAGTGCGCGTCACTGCCGTGCCAAAGACAAAACGAGTCAACCCTCGCAGCTCCTTGGCGTCGTGTACGAGCACTTGTCGAAAGGTCCCACGATTAATCGTGGTGTAGATGAAAGCATATGCTCGACGTGCATATCGGGGCACGCACAGCGTGGCTCGCTGTCTCCACAGGGGCGACCCGTTGCCTTCAACAGCGACTCATCATCTTCCGACCCCGACACCTCAACCTTCTCTTCGTATCGCGAAGCGTCCTGTCGTGCTGTCCCTTGCCGCTTCCAGTCCACCGTACGTGGTCTCTTCTTGTACCCCGTGCCCTTCGTGCGCGGACACGGGCGGCCGCTCGCCGTGCGCTGCTGACGTCGTCGGTGCTTCTTTGCAGTCTGCAAAGACGCTACCGCCACGTCTTGCGGCTCTCTGTTGCACTGCTGCAAAGTGTCCGACGCCTCGTGAGCGGTTGTCCGCAGTAGAAACGCCAGCTGCTGACGCTCCGTCATGAGACTCGGGTCCACGCACAACAAATGATGTTCCTCGTCCCGTAGCGTCTCGTCCTCGGGGCCGCGCAGGCGCTTGGTCGTGCGTGTAGCCATGTGCTCGCCACCTCGTTGCTGCTCGCCTTCGGGCTTTTCGACACTGCGTGGTCTCGGAGACATCCACTCACGCACCGGTCGATCGCTGCCGTTTCTGCTGCTTCTCTGCTTCGTCGCCTTGTCAAAGTGTGGACAGCTCCATCCGGATGGCTTCAGTTCTCACCCAATGAAAGGCCTGCAAGGGCCACTTCAACAAAGGGAGAGCTCCAGGAGACCATTCCGATCCCGACCCTCGATCGCCAATCTCCTATGGCTGCCTGCACGAACACGAGCTACACGAGCGCAAGCGTCTACCAGTCCTTCTGTTGTCGTCCTTCTTCAGCTTCGGTCTGCCACGCCTGCGGCGTTGGCTGGACCAAGTGAGTAGCCCACTGCTAGTACAGCTGCTAAAGGACAGACACATCCTCGTTCGTTCTCGTTCGTTTCTTCACTGTCTGTGCCGCCCTCGTCTCAGACGTCCTGATCGTTCGTTTTCCTGTGTGCTCGTCATCTTGCGCGCTGTGGTCAACGGACCGGCGGCCACCTTTGCGTCTGGTCTTCAGGCCACTTGACGCTGTTGCTCTCTCCAGCACGCTCTTCAAGTGACCCCCGATGGCCGAGTGAAAAGGCACTGAAACCGGGACCGGGAGGTATGTGGTTCAACGCGTGTTCGTGCAGCGTGGCAGTGTTGAGGGCATGCAGCACTTAACATCGCTAGCATCGAATCCCCGTTCCCTGCGATTCACCTCAGCTGTTGAAGATGCGCGTGTAGAGCTGATCGTGCATGGCCTGCACGAGGTCCAATATCGGTGCTGACGAGTACGAGTCTTCCACCTCGCGGTCCTTCTTGTCCCGAACCACCTTCTCCAGCAACGGCGTCAGCTCAAACTGCAGCTTTGCAGCTTCAAACGGTCCTACGAGATTCAATCTCGTGGCCGCACTCAGGATGTCGCGCGTCGTCACATACAGAAACATGCGCTGCGTCGACTCGACCGCCACATCCAGCAACGCACACACTACGCCAAAGAGCACAGCATAGTGGACGCCCTCTTGCTTTCGCTTCTTGACCGCTTTGCGGATGTCCAGCAGCACGTGCGTGCGTGGGTTTGCGGACGCATAGGTGGACAGCGCCAGTCGCAGCAGTGCCGCGCCCTGGGCGAACGAGGCCTTGCGCGCAACGTGGTTCGAATAGAGCGCAATGGCGCGACTGTTGAGCCGCAGCACGGACTCGACAAAGTCCGGGGCAGTCACGAGTGTCTGACGCGAGGAAAACACCAGCGGCAGCGCGAAGTTGGCATTCTGATGCAGCGACGCCGAAAGGAACGCAGGGAGCGATCGCGCGCTCACGAGTCCTTCCTGCGCGGCAGCTTCTGTAGCGGCGTCAGCCCGTTACATAAAGTTATTTCGAATGTATTAATTTTCTATATTTATATTTAAATAATATCCTATCAACACTACTCGAGAAGAGGAAACGATTACAAAATTTTACCCCCGAGAGTTATATTCTTGGGTGCTCCACCTTTAGTTGATATAGACGCTACATCAACCAAATTAATCACCAACAGCTGCCAGATGCGCGCAATGGGTGGTGAGCAAGAAATCCACATAGGAGATTGTAGTTTGATAAAGTTAGATTAGGACAAAAATGGTTAAGTAAAGAAACGAACTATATTAACTACAGTTCTACTTTTTCCTTAAAAACAGCTTTCCTAGCTCTGTTTATTTACTCGCTCTTCCTCACGCCACGTGTACGTGACGTCGGAAGTACGCAGCCTTGTGTTTTATCGACACAAGATGATACCAGTTTTCTGTAAGAGCGTGCCGTGTTACACCTGGTAGCACTTTGTAGTCCGTCCAACGACCACAACCACCTCATATAACATGAACGTATTGGATGAGGAGGAGAGCTTTCTCGCCACGCGGTAGGCTACAACCATTTGAGTGACATTAAATGAAGTGCGGTAGAACATCTGAGTTCTACCGTCGGCGAAACTGTAATGGGGCACTGTTTACTACGTACTGGTTGACCAGTACGGAGTATACTTCCACTGACGACAGTGGTCGACAGTGCCCTGCTAGGTGTTTAAGTAACACAGAGGAAGGAAGGGAGACTAAGTAGTCAGACTAGTCTCTTGGTAAAATTAAAACTGTATCAATATAATTAAGTCCTATAACTTCTTAAATCTCTGTTGTCCTGACTTAATTATACTAATACAACTAAATGTATGATGACGTCTACTCACCACCCATTGCGCGCGTCTAGCAGTGTTTGGTGGGTTGATATCATCACGATATCAACTAATGAGGAGACCCTTCGGTCATCTTCAACATAATCATCATGCTCTGTGATATTGTTGAAAGAATATTCAACGTAATATTCTTTATTGTCATTTTATCCTTAGTGAGAATATCATGTAACGGCCTGCCCCGTTACATCACCCCCTTAACTGATAGTCACCGTGTGACTATCGAAAATATAACGGCCACCCGTTGGACACCAGTGGGACAGGGAGCACTTGTTTGGTCAGACCCATTCACTCCTGACCTTACCTCGCATAGTTAAAATGTCTATGCGAGGTGATTCGAAGACCACACAGCCTGCTGCTGTGCCAGCCTCTGCGGCAGACGCTTCTTCGTCTGCTGCTTGTTCTCCGTCTGCAGCACCTTCTGCTGCAGACGCTTGCGGTATCGCACCACGTGCACATGATGACCTTGACAATGAGGTCGCCAGTTATGGCGAGTCAGACGTGCCTGACTCGCGCAACGTACCAGAGGCATCCCGATCACCGGTGGTGCCATATCGTTCGTCAAGAGCACTGTCGAACGAGCGGACTCGTGATTTGCATCACAATCTGTTCGGCAGTGACGATGAACTCTATGGTGAGGGATACTATGCCTCACCAAAATCAACTCGTGCTTCCCCACAAGAGCGTGATGACGATGGCGAGAGCAACCGTCATTCTGTAAGCCGTTGTATCGAAACAGGTACCACATTGAAGAGTGGGGAGCTCAAGCCGTGACGCTTGACCGACCAGCTCATCGATAGCCTGTCTCACGAGACAAGCCAGCACCATCGAATTCCATTATTCGATGCGACTGAGCTTCACGGCTTGGATCCCAGCGCGAGCAACTTTCGCGCTGAGGAAGACTTTCATCTCGATGTCTTCCTTAGACATCGATGGTACAACAGCAACCAAAAGCGTGACAAGCACTCGCTTTCAGCAGCGTGGATAGCCTTTGTCCAAAATGTCAAGAATTTTGGACGAAAAGGGTGGCTCAAGAAGCTTGAGACGACACGCCTCAAGTTCGAAAAGCGAACGCCATCTGGTGTAAGGTACCGCTTGCATAATCTTTCAAGTGAGGCCGGGATTCCATGCCTCACTTGGGGTGATCCTTGTGCGAGCTGTATTGACAACTCGCAGCGTGCACATAGGGACGTGTATTCCCTAAGTTTGCCCTGGGGAAGGGCACACATCTCGGCTGAGATGCGTGGCTCGATTGCAAACTTGCAATCCGTCTACAAGCGCCGAAACCGCGTGTTTGCCGATGAAATCGAGGACCTATCGGATAAGTCCTGTCATACTGGTGGACGAGACCTTCAACGTCAGCCATGCCATCAGCTGGGAACGCAGCTGTCAAAGGTAGGTGGGTACCGCCACCGGACGAGGTAACTCGTCCATGATTCTGAATTGCCACGGTGGTTCAAGATACTCTACACAAGAAAGCGTTAACCACCGTGGGAATCCACCAGTGGTTCCGGTGGCGGTGGAAAGACAAGGTCCGGCTCAGCCGCCGGGCTTGCACGAGACTTTGAGTAACCACGAGCGTTACCTGACCGAGCTAAGGGGGGACGTCGATCACGAATACGATCGTCGGCACGCCTTGCAGTCGGACGTGCGACGTCTTCCTGCCGATCGGGAGAAGGACCGATCGGAATTCACGTTCGTTCAGCTAAAGAGTGAACGCGAGAGGCGTCGTTGGCGCGACGAGATAGAGACGGCTCGTCGCGAGGCCGCTCCGATGAAGGACCAACTCCTTTCGACGAAGGACCAACTTCATTGTTTGGTCCTTGGTCACAAGAATCTGATGGGGATTGTTAAGCGCGCCGGTTATCTTTGTTCTCGTAAGAGGCCTCGTACTGATGGTACGGGCGGAGACAACCAACATAATACGTAGGATACGTGAGCATCCTGCGAGGCAACTCAATCGTGTATGCATTTCCCTTGCGGTGCAACACACGTAATGGACCAATGTATTTCGGCTGTAGTTTACGATTGCCGACATTAGTGACTACATGTCCAGGTAAGTTTACCGTGGAAAGTTGCACTAGGTCGTTAAATTTAAATAGAGGAACATTTGCTCTTCCTTTCTTGTCTGCGTTTCGTTTCTGGCGGTCCACCGCATTTGCGATGGAGTCCTGTACAAAACGGACCACCGCCTCTCGAGTCAGCAGGAAATTCTCTGCTGACTCATATTTTTGTCTTTCAGTGCGCTTCGTGCGCACGGCTCAGTGGTTCTTCTCTTCTTTAGCGAGGTTTTCTTCTTCCTCGCTGAAATAATCGTTGACGATGCTGAATATCCCAGCATCGTCATCATTGTCTGATGTAGCAGCAGCGTCATCGCTACTGCTAAACTTGAGTTCCTGTATGTCGACGTTGTCGACAACGGCATCAAACGTATCGGCGTGAGCGGTGATACGTGATGAGCAAGAGCCAAAACGGTTTTTGCTCGAGCGAGTTCCCCCTCCCTTAACTCAGAGTCACTCTGTATGAGGGCGGGAATACGTGGGTGGCGTAAGCCATTCACGTAGAACGGTGTATGCGTTGTGGACGCATGCACGGAGTTGTTGATGGCAAACTCAACCATTGGTAAGAACTCACTTCAATGTAAAAAGGAGTGGACGTATCAACGAAGAATTTTTTCTAGGACAAGGTTCGCACGTTTTGTCTGACCATCTGTTTCAGGATGGTCAGATGTTGACATCTTCAACCGTGTTCCGAGTGAACGGAACACGGATTGCC